AAAAGAATTTTTTCCCAGGTGTTTTTTTTTTTTTTTTTGAGAGGGGAGGAGGGGGCGGGGGTTCAGTATTTTTGTTTCAACCACATGGCAACCGTAGCCACAGAACGCACGCTGTCTGTGACAGGCGAGGGAGCGCCACTGGCCCCGCTGGGCATTCCGCCCCGGCCCAAGGGCTCTCGCCAGGACTCAGCAATGCTGTGCAGGAGGGAGCCTTGGGGGAATGGTGCCCTTCCCAAAAGAGAGGGGAGGAGGGGGCGGGGGTTCAGTATTTTTGTTTCAACCACATGGCAACCGTAGCCACAGAACGCACGCTGTCTGTGACAGGCGAGGGAGCGCCACTGGCCCCGCTGGGCATTCCGCCCCGGCCCAAGGGCTCTCGCCAGGACTCAGCAATGCTGTGCAGGAGGGAGCCTTGGGGGAATGGTGCCCTTCCCAAAAGAAGCCCCGCAGTGCTGGCAAGGCAGGCATGGTGCCCCCTCAGTGCCAGCCTGCTCCGAGGGAGGGGAGAGCTGCCCGCCGTCTCTCATCCAAGCTGGGAAGGGCCTGTCCCTGGCTGGCAGTGAATGGCAGAGCTTCTCCAGCGACGCCGGGTTCTCGCAGGAAAGAATGTTCTTGGACCGTTGGAAATACGTTTAGGAACAAAACCCAACTGTTCATTTCCAAAGTTTGGGGCTCTTCCCCCGCCTCCAACTGCCAGAAGTTGGCATGAATCCCCGCTTTTCCACGCCCTTTTACTGTGCTTACTAAAAAGCAATGTGTGAGAAAGGGGGGTTTCTCCCCCTACGCCCACCCCCGTTTTCCGCTTGGAAATGTGGGGGGGGGGGCAAAAGGGAAAAAGCTGCGGGGCAGAAACACCCCAAAGCATTGTTCATGACACAGTTTTGGAGGGTTTAATCAACCAAGCCATTCTGAAGTCAAATACGTTGTCATCCAGTTTTAAAGTTTCTCATAAGAAATTAGAATATTTAGCCCAAAAAAAGGGACACCACACCGATTTCTGTCCCCTCTATGCCCCCCGCCCCCCGCCCACACTTAGGCCCTAGAGGCTCTTGGTGAGTGCTAGCCTGCGTATGACAATCGATACGGGGGACTCGCCCTATAAGGGGCTGGCCTGCCCCTCCAAGGACCAGCCAGCCCATGCCGGTCGGGTGACACGGGAGAGGGCAGAGAAGAGCCAGGGAGAAGAGGTGCAGGGACCATGCCTGAGAATCGGTGCTCTGCCCCTCCCCAAGTCAGATTTCCATGGGGCCCGGGGGGGGCTGCGGGGGAAAGAGCTCTTGGTTTGTTTGGATATTTGTGACCCTGGCCCGGGGGCTGAGAACTGAGCGCCACATGCACCCTGGCTGAGACCTGTGGCCGGGAGCGCCATGCCTGGCCAGCAGGGCCTCGACACGGTGGGCGGGCCCGTGGCGACGCATGAGTTCAGTGGAAAATCCTGTAGGAGGCGACCCTGGGAAAGGAAAGTTTGGCGCCATTCCTCCTCACCCATCCCCAGGTGGCAGGCGTGACGGCCAGACCGTCTCCACAGAGAGCAGCTGGGACAGTTTGCTAGAGGCCCAGGCCTGGGCTGGGCTCCTTGAGTGCCGAGCTACTCCTGGCCGGGGCGGGGTCCTTGCTAGACCCGCTCTCCGGAGCGCTGGTCTGGGGGTAAGGGGAGACCTGGCCACAGGGCAGTGCAGGGATGAAGGGCCAAATTCATCCCTGGAGTTCAGAGCAGGTGGCCCCAGGGGTCGTGTGGAGCCATGGAGCACAAAGCACCTTCCCGTGGGCTTGGCCTGGCTCTCCCGCAGGGAACAGTTCACAAGCAGCAGGCGCTGAATAAATGGCACCTTGGCGACTCTCAGGCTTATTTGGGCAGAAGGCACGTGGGGCGGAAGCGACACAGGCGGGCGGGGACTCACTAGCCCCTGGCC